CCATACCATAAAGTCAGACGTTAGAGGTCCCATACCCTGCCTGCAAATTTATAGCCAATTATCAGAGCCAAGAGATTCCTTAAAATTCCTCTGAGAACGCAGCCAGGCAGATGCCCAATTACTTCTCTCCCCGGAGAGATCCCCTTTGTTTGTCTTTGCCCAAGTCCTTCACACAACAAAGTTAACACAACAAGTTCCATTGCCACTTCAAGCAGTAAATAAATAACTCAGGAGTCTCTGCCCCTAGTGACTTGACTCCAGATTGCTTCACACTATCACTACTTTCACTTCAACTGAACTTAAAATTCTTAAGAGAATTCTTTAAAAAGGATATAAATACTCCCTCTACTTAGAACGACAAAGAGTTGGTTTAAAATTAGAATATACTACCCCCATAATATTGTAGAAGTTCTCAGCCATTTTTTGTTACATAAACTTCAATTTACTTCCAGAGAAGTTCGCCCGACTATCAAAGAGAAGACTTTGCCATAGAACTAGTAAGATTTCTCATAGTTGCTTTACATCAATCACCTTTTAACTGCCAACTTTCTCCTAAACCACCCAAGATAACTTTTTCTTACTCCTACTTTATACACAGAAGAGCACACAACAAAGTTAACACAACAAGTTCCATTGCCACTTCAAGCAGTAAATAAATAACTCAGGAGTCTCTGCCCCTAGTGACTTGACTCCAGATTGCTTCACACTATCACTACTTTCACTTCAACTGAACTTAAAATTCTTAAGAGAATTCTTTAAAAAGGATATAAATACTCCCTCTACTTAGAACGACAAAGAGTTGGTTTAAAATTAGAATATACTACCCCCATAATATTGTAGAAGTTCTCAGCCATTTTTTGTTACATAAACTTCAATTTACTTCCAGAGAAGTTCGCCCGACTATCAAAGAGAAGACTTTGCCATAGAACTAGTAAGATTTCTCATAGTTGCTTTACATCAATCACCTTTTAACTGCCAACTTTCTCCTAAACCACCCAAGATAACTTTTTCTTACTCCTACTTTATACACAGAAGAGAAGGCAGAGCCTTTTGGAGAGTTGTATGCAGTTTTTCAGTCCATCCCTAAACTGAGAATCCAGACACTGTTTAACACAGCTTTGAGGCAACTTTGTTGATGTTTAATCCTAAAAGTTAAAGACAAAATAATAATTTTTTTTTAACTAGTGAAGAAATAAGTGACTAGCATACAGAACGCTGGCATATTGAGACCCAAAAGAATAAGACTATAAACCCACCATTTATCTCTACATAGATCCCAAAATCTCAATATGGGGAACCGGCTTTCTCCCAAGCAAATAACTCATAAAAATAAAATCCACTTTTTACTAACATAAGCAGAATATTCTACTCTCTCTAAAATCATTTTCCAAATACTATAAATCTATTTAGAACTCCCCCACACTAGTTTCAAAAGGAAAATTATCAAAAAGAAAAAAAAATCAACTCTCAGTCCTTCCACTCCTCCTTGCCCTCCCTCTCCTCCTCTTCTATTCACTCCTCTTACACCTCCTACTGACTCTTCTGACTTCTACTCCTCCTCCTCAGTTTAAGGCCATAGATAACACTAGACCTAAAGAACATATTATCAAAGATTGTAAAGAAAACCAAGAAGCCTTCCTCCAAATGTAAACATTCCGATAAAGACTTTCACTAGACTAACCACTCTTCCACAAACGTGTCAGAAAATCTGATACCAGACACGCCTCCAGTCCAAGACCCAAAGAGGTCTTACTCTAATCTCAATCCAACCCAATAACAGACAAAAACTCCAAATAGACAACTGGCCCAGAAATTGATGATTCCATTCACACTATGACTGGAAGTACTGACATTGATTTCATTGTCCCCCAAAAATGTTTCTTTAAGTTTGCCAGAGAAAGTCTCCCTAAAAAATAGTCAACTCTCAAGACCTCTAAAAAACAGACATACTTACAACTTAAAAACATAAGAGAGCCTATAATGACCTTACAGCCCCGTCTCCATAACAACTAAACAACTCTTACTGACCTTGTAGCCCTGATAACAGCCTAACAACTCAATTTACTAAGTTAACCCTTTCTCATCCCTAGAGTACTTAGAACTTTTTGTTCAGTCAATTACTTTATGTGATGTCTTCTAAAAAGTCTTTCCAAATAATTAAAATCTTAAACAGTTATTAATAAAAAACCTAATTTTACAATAAGTCAAAAATTCTAATAAATATATAAAGTCCTACATATGAAGTTAAACATCCCAGACTAAGACAAAAGAATAAGAAATAGGCTTTGATGAGCCTAAAATAATCCTTTACTAACAAAATATGTTCCTTATCTAATTAATCAGAGGTAACAACTATCTCAAAAGACAAATTTATAAAGAAAGGGAAACAAGGTAGAAAGAAAACAGTAAATAGGAAAGAAATGTGGAAAAAAAGATTAAATATGAAGGTATATTTGGTGAAAAAGGTTAAATAAAAGAGTTTTATGTGGTAAACTTTTGTCCTAAAGTAAGATGGCTGGATTGGAATAAAAAAAAGTAAAAGGGGACAAATAATCAAGGAATAAAGCATGTCACAAAAAGGTCTGAGTTATGTTGAAGAAGGTCTGAAAAGGAATTGTAAAAAATTGAAAAGATTTCATGAAAAGATGTATATATGACAAACAGTATCTGAGGTGGCCCTAAAACAATAGACCACACTATTTAGCACTGAAACACAGTCTAAATAGAGCTAATTTACTAATTTAAAGTTTGTTAATAAAACTAATCCTCTCCATAGTTTTAAAACAAAAAAGGGGAATCTAAGGCCCTCCTCTACTCATGCTGCCAAATTGCTTTCTTTAACCATATTTAAACTGAATTACCTAAATATGACTTTAAATTCAAAATTATATCAATAGAGTACTACTTAACAACACAAAAACTTCCCTAAGCAAAAGTCTTTTTTTAAAATGCCATCAGATCCAACTTGGCAAGGTCCAACTCCTCTAGTCACCTGGAGAAGAGGGTTTCTCTCTGTGCTTACTCCTACAGGTCCGGGTTAGATTCCCTCTCAGTGCATATGACCTGCACACCTATGAGCTGGCATCAGATGCTGAAAGACCCAATACCAAACTTCCAGCTGAAGATTCAGAATCAACAATACAACAAAAAGAACAAGAGATGGAAGTTGCTGGCTAAAACTAACATCAACATTTGAGGAGACATCAAGGCCTTGTCCAACAACACCCAAAAAATACTGACAACAATGAACAAAAAGTTGACCCCTGAAAATGTTTCTTGCCATGAATGAAAAACTTCCTGTAAATTCTATGATGTTTTGTTACATCATAATATACCTGTTCCTGTCCCTTCCACCATCTACTGCCTTAAGCCATTACTCTTTGGAACTATATTTCTGTTAATTATTCTGTTAATCACTTGTTACTATAGTCATGTGTTACCCCCATACGTTTCATAGTGTCAAACTCCTCCTAAATGGGAGAGAGTCATGCAGGCTTTTAAAACTAGAAAAGGGAATTTGTGAGGATATGCAGCCTAGCTGCATGAAGCAGTTATCTGCATGCCTCATTAATTACTCATTCAAGCTGACTAACATATGCCTTGGGTGTGAGGGGCTCTATGAAAACATTCATGGGACATGAGAAACATCCTGACCATACGATGCCTGTTCTATATAATGTTTATGGCTTACACATTATCCTCTTTGATGCATACTCAGACAGCCTTCTTCAAAGTTGCAGAGGAATGGCACATTTACAGATAAGTAATCTGGCTTGACCTATGACGCATAACAGGATCACCATGATAGTAACAATGTCAGAAAATGTATACATTAAAGGTGCTTATCTCCAACTATAAAACTTCAACCGCATCCTTAAAAACTTACAGAACAGTTCACTGTGCCTAGTAAAATGTGTAAATTAAAAAGTTCAGCATGACTGAGCAACACAACTTGTCTGTGTTCACCTGCATCTCTACTTCTGCATCTTTCTCATTTCTCTAACTTTTTCCTCCACAGAACTAAGTCCAAGGGTGAACGCCAATAGATTACCATCCAAAGAAATGTTATTCTTAAGCTTACCAGCCGATGCCAACACTACACCTTGAGCTATGTATGAAAATTATCTCAAAACTGATCATACACTTAAATATCAAACCTAAAACTAAAATTTCTAGAAAGAAACTTTCTGACCACAAGTCTGACCAATATTTCTTAGATCTGATGGCAAAACCATGAGTCATAAACAAATACAGTGGTAAATTGGATTTCATTAGAATTAAAATTTTCTGCTCTGAAAAAGATACTATTAAAAGAAAAAAGAAAAACACAGACTGGGAGAAAATATTACAAAAGAATATATCTATGTCAAAAGACTCAAATCCAGAATACCTAAAGGATTCTCAAAACTTGAAAATAAACAATACAAAAAATGTCCAAAAGATTTGAACACTTCACTGAAGGAGATATACAAATGACAAGTGCATTAAAAGATGCTATCATTATTTATTAAAGAAATACAAACTAAAACCACAAAGGGATACCAATACACATCTACTAAATTGGCTAAAATTAAAAAGATTGATCGATTATACCACGTGTTGATATAGCTGTGGAACAAAGGTAACTCTCACATCTCTGCAAGTGGGTCATATGAAATGTTATAACCACTGTGGAAAACAGTTCAGCTGAGAAAAATGCGAGCATATGTATATATACAGTTCCATATATGAATGTTCATAGCGATTTTGCTTATAGTAATCCTGAAGTGAAAACAAGCCAAATGTCCATCAACCAGTGAACAGAGAAGCACAGTATGTTTCACAATCTAGAGGAGGCACCAAAGTATAAAGCAGCTGCTTTATAAATTGCAGACGTTATTCCTAAGAAGTAAAGGGAAATTCAATATGATGTCTACATCACCCTTCATCACCTAACAGATAAATAAGTTATAAAGTATCATTTCTCCCTTATGTTAAAAAAGTAAGGCTCAGTATCTTACCTATATATTTATATCCTTCTTCCCCATTTACTATGGGTCTCAGCCAAGTTGACCTGAGTCGTGAATTACGCACCTGGGCACCTTGAGGAGGATAGAGTGTAAATAACATTTCAATTGCACTGAACTTTTTGATTTGTTCAGAATATTTTTCTTGCTTATCTGTAAAAGGAAAAAAAAGAATATTAAATATTTTTAAGGTTTAGACATTTTACAGAAATTCTTACATGGTGCTTTGTTATTTATCCTTCTTCTTATTATTATTTTTTAGGTTTTTGCCATAGGGTGTGTGTGCTCGCCAGAGAGAGACAGAGACAGGAAAGTGATAAATCATCCCCTAAGGGGGATGGCCATGCTGCAATCCCTTCTCCTTCATTCTTCTCTCAGAATTTTGGACACACACACACACACACACACACACACACACACACATACACGCCCTGCGTGATGTCAAGCTGCTAGGTACGGGACTCAAATGATAGTCAACAATGTGGGAATCCAGCACCTTAACCACCATGCCACCTGCTGACCCCCTTCCATGGTCCCTTCAAGTGATACATATTAAAAACTATTTAACAAATTAAGTACTAAAGATTAGATCAAAATTATGGGTTTTCTTTAGTTGGAGTTACTTTATCAAAAATCTTACTGTTAAGATCATTCCTAGCAAAACCTATAGAGTAAAGGTTTTAGCAATATCTTCAAACACTATCAGTTGAAAGCAGTGTTGTTAACCTCTGGGGGGAAAATTATGATAACCAATGGGTGGCACTCACATTATTCTACAAAATAACCACATAGTTTACTTTTTAATCCCATTCAACTATAGAACTAGGTTAATCTGAAATAAATATCGAGTGGATACATACTCAACAAACGAACTGTAGGAAAAAATAATATTCATAGGCTATGGTTTTTAAGAAAATATAAAAATACATACGCTTTTACTGATATTTTCAATTTGACAGACACTTATATAGCGCTTATTATTTGCAAATAATAAGTCCAAGTGCTTTAAAATATTAATACAGGGCTAGCCCCATCATCTGTGGTTTAAGGGAGCCAGATCCCACAGTATTGACTGCAGAGTTTGAATCCAGGTCCCAGAGGCTTGAAAAACACATCAGGCCTAAGTGTGTGCATGCCCCAAGTCCCGACAGGATAGAGAGGTGGAGGAGAAGCGACTGATTGCAATGTGACCATATCTCACTGGGCTATGCCTTCTCTCTCTTCTCTGTCTCTGGCAAGTGCACTTGCTGTCCAGCAAAATTTAAAATAAAATAAAATATTAACACATTTAATTTTCATACACGTCTATAAGGTAGATCCTATTATTAGTTCCTTTCACAAGAAGAAATTGAGACCCGGAGAAATTAAGTAACCTGCTCATCATATCTCACATCTATAAACAATACAGGCAGGATTCAGATATCTAAAGAAGCTCGTATTTGTAAACTAATCTTTGTCAACTGAACATGACCTGCATTAACTAGCAAATTCTAAAATTAGAATTAAAAAAAAAAAATCAAGAAGGCATATAGCTGGACTCAACCCATTCCATCACACAAGTGTGGAAACAAGACCAGAGCATCTCTCTTGAAAATCATAAAGAAAAAGTGGAATGGGGAAAATCGGGAGTGAGAGCAGCTATTCACTGTGGAAGGACCCAATTGCTCTCAAGGCTTCTCCCCTCCGCAGCCATTATCTGTTCCTAATTCCCTCAGCTTAAAGAGGACAGTTAGTAACATTATTTGATAGGATTATGCTTACTAGTTTTAATGAAGTCGTTCATTTTCTGTAAAAGCAAGTGCTTCAATTTTAGGTAGAATGAAATGCCTGCACTAAAATCTAACTAGTGATGAATGTAGAACTGCCACTTTCTCTTACGAGCTTATCCTGATTGAAGACTAAGCAGAAACACAGGAAGCCAGTGCAAGCATAACGGGACGCAGTGAGAGCATGGCCCAGACACACACTGAATTCAGCTTTCCGGCTCATGGTCTTGCTCATGCCCCACTTGCTAATGGGTAACACAAAGGGAGTCTTGGAATGTATGCAAACGAGCAACGTGACTTTTAAATAATTGCACCTTCCCTCGTAACATCAGTTGATTAAAGACAAGCATTTTTCATTAAAAAAATATGTACCTTGTTAAAATTGTTCTCCTTTTTATTCTAACACATCATCTTGAGATTAAAGAAGGAATTTAGTTTCTATTGCTGATAGTTATCATTTTCTATATTTTTGGAGCACCATTTTTTTGTATACTGCTAAGTCAATCTTGCCACATTGGATTAGATGTAGTATTTTTTTTTTTGGAGATTTTCACTGTAGGGCTCATGCGCTCGCCAGACAGACAGAGAGAGACATAGAGACAGAAAGCGAGAAATCACCCCCCAGGGGGGATGGTCACGCCGCAATCCCTTCTCCTCCATTCTCCTCTCGGGATCTTGGGCACGCATGCACACGCGCCCAGCGTGAGTTTTAAACCACCGGGTCCAGGACACGAACTGCGGTCGACTACGTGGGAGTCCAGCGACATAGCCATTACACTAACTGCTGGTTCCCAGATGTAGTATTATTTTTTAATTCTTTATTTTATTTTATATATCACTGTATTAGATGTAGTATTTAATACTACTCTCAAAATGCAAAAATATTTTAAAAAGCTCTTCCTTATCCTCTTTCCCAAAGCCATATATCTATAAATATCTGCAGGTGCTAACATTAGACACATGAGAGATCTTCAAAAAGTTGTCAGAAAAACTAATATTATGAAAAAAACTATGCACGTATTTCAAATTTTTATTGCACCAAAATAAACTCATATTATTATTATTTTTGAGAGGTTGCTATAGGGTGCGTGAGCTTGCCAGAAAGACAGAGAGAGACAGAGAGACAGAAAGTGAGAAATCACCCCCACAGCGGGGATGGACACGCTGCAATCCCTTCTCCTCCATTATCCTCTCGGGATCTTCGGCATGCACGCACATGCACCCGGCGTGAGTTTAAGCCACCAGGCCTGGAACTCGAACCTGGGTGGTTGACTACAGGAGAGTCCAGCGACATAAGCCATGCTAACTGCTGATCCCAAACTCATATTCTAATTCCACTTTTCCACAATTTTTTTAAGTCCACTTGTACGTGTTTCAGGCTGCTTCTGTAGCAAAAGCCCACACACAATTTCCGTAACTGTCCAGAGCTCCCGGGTCAGGAGGGGGTTCGAGCAGTGGCTCTGCAGTTGCACTGCTTGGGTATAAATATGGATCTGTCATGTTTGAGACCCAAAGCAAGTTAGCTCTTTTTCTCTGGACTGACATCATAATAAAGATGTCTACGTTACAGCGTTGTCTTGAGAACGCACTAAACCGACATAAATAAAATCTTTAGGAGAACACGCAATCCGTGGTCAGATTTCTTAATGTTAGTTATTACTGTAATTACGTTGCTCCATTCAACAAATAAGATATCCAACTGTCTACTGGACGACGGCACTCAGGTAACAAACAAGCATCTAAAAGTCTATGTGCCAAAACCTGTCCTGAACCAGAGCTGCCTGTCTTGGTAAACAGCATTTATCTAATGGTTTAATCGACTTTAGAAAAACAGAAGACCTCCCGACATTTGCCTCACTTCCCACTGCCACCATTCTAGAAAAGCTCTCTTCAATAGTCAAACGCTCTAGCCTCATCTTCACCCTTTCAGTTTTGTCTCTAAATAGCAGTAAGAATAATGTTTTAAAAATGCAAACTCAACCTGTGTTTTCCTATTTAACGGTTTTTCTGATATACTTAAAATAATGTTTGATTCCTTCTTAAGTTCTAAAAGGTTCTGAACACTCTAGCCCCTGCCTCCTTTCTATCTCTGTTCTAGCAACCCTGACTTGCTTTCTAACTGGCATGATGGTGTCCCTCCCCAAACTTTTCCCCACAGCCTCATAACTTCTACACCACCTTCCCTTCTCTCCCTGGTCTCGGACTCCCACCAAACTGGATTGAGTTTCCACCTTATATGATGTTTTTAATTACTTTATCTTACTACTGGATAAGGTGTCTCCTTCACAAGACTAGAGCTCCAAGGAGGCAAGGCCCACGACCGACTGTTACTCCCTATATCCCTAGCACCTAGACTCTGACGACACTTAGAAAGGGCCAATAAAAGCCTCTTTGTTTTCTCTTTTTCCTTTTAATTTGTTATATGGCAAGTGTGCTCACCAGAGAGGCAGAAACAAAGAGGGAGAGAAAGAGGCGAACTGAGAAAGCACCCCTCTGAGAGTAGAGGTGGGACAAATAATTATGCTGCAATCCCTACTCTTCTATTCTTTTCTCAGGATTTTGGGCATGCATACACATGTGCCTATTATGTTTTTCAAGCTGCTGGGTCCAGGACTGGAGTGGCACGGTCAGCCATGTGAGTTCTATCTGCCTGAAATGCCATGCCACCACTTGGCCCAAAAAACATTTGATTAACAAATGATAATAAGTGCTAGTTTTTCCTTTAAAAAGTTGTATTATGTTTATTTCTTCCATGAGTAAGAGATGGAGAGAGACAGAGGGCTAGAGGCTGCACTCCCATCAGGGTCTTGACAGCACCATCCACCCCTCGCTTCAGCCAGATCTGATCATGAACACATGAGTGTCCAGCAGACTCAGGAAGGTCTTCGGACCTTCCCATCTGGGTATGCCTGGCAGTTGTGTTTTCCTGCTATGCCAGCCCCTAACTCTTAGTATTTATTGAACTTTTGTGTCAAAATCATTATTCATAAATGGACTACAACTCTCTTAGTTTGCTAAGGGTGAGAACTAGTATAGAATCGAACAGTGGGACCCTAAGCTGCCCCTAGTCTTCCCCTGCCTCTCAGGTAAGTGAAACTCATTATGCTTATTGTCCAGGGTGGAAGGGGAGTTTTCAGAGAATCCAAAAATGCCCCTCCCTTCCTCACCCTAACAGGGTGCTGTATTACTGAGAGCTTATTGCCTCCTTCTGAATGTGAATATTAACACAATGACTCTAGACTTATTCTTCAAGGATCACAGTAATTAAAAAAAATAAAGTGCAAATAAAATTAGGAAATTGGCATAAAGTTGTCAGCTCTACATTCTGCTACATGAGGACAATAAAAAAGAAAGACCATTATTACCACAATTGTTCTCTGTGTGTGT